ATGATGAAAGAATCAACCCATCAAGAAGATAAGAAAATTATAAATATGTACCTCCAACAACACATTTTCAATCTTTCTACACTAAACTATTTTATTATGACTTTCTTCTTTCTACTTAATTTCATATGCAGTGAAATAAGCTTAAAAACAAAAATCAACATTGCTAGGAACTGCCAAGTCAGTGGTCTATAAGACGCCCTTGACATCAATTAAATTTAAAATCAACGATGACAGTTATAAGAACATAAAATTACTTATGTTTGACAGATTTTAAGAGACAACACCCATTTCCCTCCACCGTCCCCACATCCCTTCAAAGCGCAAACCTCTGTCTTTTTCTTCTTCGCTTTCAAAGCTTTCTCTTCCATCATGTCGTGGGCTAGAGGGAGAACTGTAACTCTCTGAAGAGGTTTCTCCACATGTGTCATGTCCAGATCCAATGTCCAAATTCACATCTAAAAATAACAATTCTATTCTTAAAAAAATCATGTTAAGTAAATTTCTGAATTGAATCATTAGAATTAGCTATAGCCGGGGGCGCCTGGGTGACTTAGTTGGGGAAGCGTCCAATTTCAGCTCAGGTCATGATCTCATAGCTCATTGAGTTCAAGCCCCGCGTCAGGCTCTGTGCTGACAGCTTGGAGCCTAGAGCCTGCTTCGGATTCCGTGTCTCCCTCTCTCTCTGCCCCTCCCTTGCTCACGCTCTGTCTCTGTCTCTCTCTCCAAAATAAACATTAAAAAAAAAAAAAAAAAAAGAATTAAAAAAAATTAGTTATACCTGTAAAAATTTTTTCTTTCAGTTTTTCTATGATCACCTAAAAATCTAGTCCTTGATCTAGGTAAAAATTCATCATTACAACATTAATTTTAAATGAAAATAATTGAATAACAAATACATTCTTAAGTCAAAGGTACAGGGACAAGTCAATCTTATGGACTTGAAACAATCAGAGGTAAATAAAGTTCACTGCAGGGCGTGCTCGGTGAGAGCACACTGAGCCGTTCTCTACATCTAGATGCTATAACTCCGTAGAGCTTGTTGGAAAATTCATCTTTAAGAGAACTCAAGTATCATCTAGTAGACTCATCAGTCCCTCGGGTTCCACCCGAAGCCAACAGCAGGGTGGGGCAGGGGGTGTAGAGCAGACCTGCCGTGATCAATTAAGCCAGGTCCCTGTGGAGCACAGAGAAGGGATTACTGGTCCACCCAGCCCTGGCCCAAACTCGGGGCGCTGTTCTATTCATTTCTGTAAAGCAGCTGAGCTCGCAAAGATTCTGCCTAGCAGTAAGCACTCAACACATGTTTAGGACAGAACTCCCCATAGAGGGAGTTCTGGAGAGATCTCAGGGCTACAGATGAGTGAACCATCGCTATGGCAACCTGGCAGAACCAATAAAAGGTAATCACTCGGACAAAACAGGTGTTAGAAAAAAGATACGGTTTGTGTAATATACAAATCAGTTGACTAATGTGTGTCTTTAGAAGGCATTAAATTTATAACAGGGTTCACACTGTTAAGGATGACCTCGCCTAGCCCAACCTTACTCAGATGCTGACTCAATATTAAAGAATAAAGTCACTAAGAATGCAGATGACATGGGTTCCCTTTGGGTAATAAAATGCCAAACTGCCAAGGGGAAGCTGCACAAGATCTCATGAGGCTGTAAGGAAAGTGGCAGAGGAGTGACTTGGGCAAGTAGTAATTTTACAGAAAAGTCATCTGGAGTACACTTACCCCATGATAATAGGTTTCAAATTACCAGTCACAACATGACTAAGGAAAGGGACGCAAGTGAACGGCAATGGCAATCTGATGACAATCTAATGTGCCACAGCCGCCAAAAAGCCTGGCATTAACCTGGACCACAAAAAACGAAACCTCTAAAACTGTGGCATACGTGCAAACTGTGCATGTAAGTATTCCAACCAGCACAATGAACAAAATGAACAATTCAATTAAGAGAATCAAAGATTCAATGACAATCCTGAGTCAGAAATGATGGGCTGAAAGGGAGCTCCCGGGAGGCTGAGCTGAGAGCTCAGATAGTGAAACTACAGATTAGTTGTTGAAACTTCAAGGAGAAGTTTCAGAATATGTTCAAACAAACAAACAAACAAAAAAAACCACACACACACACAGAGCTATTTCTCAAAATGACAATTTATACAATGATTTACTCTAGATTTTATTAGCCAGTAATTATTCTCATCACCAAACTGCCAATATAATAACTTGCAGTTTTCTAAGAACTAAATATATAAATCTAAATCTATACTAAACAGAATTCTGTTTTTAATGATCTCAAAGGCGCAGTTTTTGGCATTTTTATCATCAGAAATTATTATTATTATGTGACCCTCTGGAGTCAGAAGGTGTGGAAGGGGAGTGTGAAACCATGATGCCAAAGGTGTTCCGTGCACGGTCTTTTTTTTTTTCTTTTCTTTTCTTTTTTAAGTTTATTTATTTTGAGAGAAAGAGGAACAGAGCACATGAGCAGGGAAAGGGCAGCCAGAGAGGGAGAGAGGGAATCTCAAGCAGGCTCTGCCCGCACTGTCAGCACAGAGCCCAATGTGGGGCTTGAGATCATGACCTGAGCTGAAGTCAAGAGCCAGACGCTTAACTGACTGAGTCACCCAGGCGCCCCCATACACTGTCCTTTTAAATAGAAGCAAAAAACCTTTCTGTCTATTACCAAAGTAAAAGGTTGTGCATGTTATTAAGATGAAAGGAAGCTGGTGACTCTGAATTCAGTCACTGACATCTTCTGTAAGAATTACCGAGAGGTCAAGCATCTCACTGCCCCCGAACTTCGTGGTGCCACAAAGAGCAACAGACTAACAGGGTGGAAGAAACATGGCGATGCAGTGGGACAAAGGTTTAATAATGCACATGAGACATAAAGCTTGAGGTTTTAAAAACAAACATAATGCAAAGAAAACGGATGACAAATAGCACTGCCGGGCTCTTCAGGGACACAACATGAGAGGGGCGGGGAGGGACTCTCGGTCCCTTACGTCTTTAGGGTTTTGAACTATATAAATGTCTTATTACTCAAAACAGAAGATAACTTTAAAATTAAAAAGACCCAGACAATCTACCATTCAGAAGGACTGATATTTTTAACTCCAATACACTACCCACTACTTTAAGACATGTAGGATTTGTTCCAGAAGGAAAAAAAAAACCTTAAATATATCTTAGGTTTACTGAATGCTTAAAAGTAATTCCTTCTTTATAACCTAGTATTTCCAAGGGAAATTAATAAACAGAGGGTTTTGTTTTTTTTTAAATTGGAGTCAGCAAACATCCGACTTACATTTGATATCAATAGAAAGCTGCAGAAAGTATAGTTTATTTATAGTCACACTTCAGGACATAGAGTAAAATTTATCTTAATAAGAAACCCTGAGGTTGTATTTTCAGAATACTGGAAGAAAAGAGAAAAAGGAATTGGAGTTTGGGGTGCTATTTAAAAGTTCTTAATAACCTGCAAATGTATGTTTTCTTCTAGAATAGAGGGAAGAACTAAATCACTGAACACCAGCGTGCTCAGCACTCACTAAGTGCTTTTCAGATGTTGCCATGTTTGATCCTTACAATCCAAGGCGGTAGGTTATTAGTCCTGTTTCCAAATGAGAAGAATTAGGCTGGAGAGAGGGCACACATTTATGAAACCGGTGGAGTACAAGATTCAAACCCACATTTGCCTAAGATCAGAGTCCACAGAACTTCTCTGCAAGTATGAGGCTAAAGAGGACAGAAGAGCCGTGTGCTCCTTCAGTGAGCAGGGGTTCCCGAATCACGTGAGGGACGAGAGACAGAGCCATCTTCTGAGGGTGGGATACATCTGACGGAAGTTTCCACTGGGGAATGACCCGATTTACTCTGTGATGTAGGGGCAAACACACGGGCAGTGCAGAGTGAGCTGGGAGGAGGAAGAGCAGAGACGGGCGATCTGCCACAAGTCATTTTCCTCCATTCGCAGACAGAGACCTTTTGTCATTCTTATTTTAGCCTTTTCCTCCTCCCTTTTACCTGCCACCACCACAGGAAACCTCAGAGATAGTGAAGTGTCACGATATACTCCTAAACGATGTGTTTTTCCCCAGGTCATTTTCTCCCCAAGGACAGTTCAGTTATTTAAGTCAGTAAGTTGGCCAGCTGATTTTAGAGTCAAAATGTAACCACATTTCCTGTATCAATATTCAGTCTCTCTGAACCAAGTACCTGGTTTAAAAACACACTCCATTAAAAACATATATACTCTAGTTACTTATGTTGTATCACAACTGAATGTACTAACACTTGAATTTACAATCCTTAACTTGTGAACTCAGTCCAATCTACAAATGTGTTAGGTACACACATGAACAAAACATACTCCTAGGGATCTATGTGCTTTTAAATCTCTTTTAGCTTTACTACTAACCACACAATTTACACAGAAAAGTTATTAATGAACCAGCAGAAAGGACACTTCTCGAATGAATACAAAACCTAAAAATAAGGAGAAAGTAAACTAAAAGCGGGTAAATGGAAACCATATAAATCCAGTACAATAAAAATCTCAGTGTCTGCATTCCCCTAGGACTCCGACAGGAAAACGTTAATGAGATTCTAAAAACTGGCTTTACACAGGACAGGGAGGGCTCCCAGGAGGGCAGGGGATGTGCTCCAGGGGCCTTCACCTGTGCTCCAGGGCAGGGGCAGGGCACTGGCTTGCCAACAAGTGGGGAGCCTGGGGCCTCCAGAGGAAGGAAAAGGTGGGGAAGTGCGACGGTGGCAAAGGGAAGGTTCACCTCTAGGGCTGATTCCGATTTCTTAAATCAATTCCATTAGTGCTTTAGAACGATTTAATTCAGAGACTGCTATTCCCAGCCGTGCAGGATACCAGTATAACACCAGGATTTGACAGCACAGCTCAATAACTACTGTAACCGGCATCATGCAAAATATACATAGGTGATAGGTATCTGAAGGAAAAACAAACTTTCTTACCTTTCACAGAACCTCCATGGGCATGCTGAGAAGCAGAGAGTCTAATACCATTTATTCTACTATTCAATCTGTTGTCAGTTTTCTTAATTTTCTCCCTAAACCCAAAATATACATGTTACTGACATTTTTTATAAGGCCGCTAGAGAACACAGTAAGCAGTATTACTAAAATTCCCCTCAATTCTTCTATAGTAAAAAAAAAATTTAATCTAAGTGCAAGATTTGCCCTTTAGTGTACAGTTCTGAGAGTTTTGCCCCTCCAAACTGAATATATTTGACAATAGCTTTATTTTGATCATCTGCATTTGCTATTTTGAATTAAAAAAAATAAGCCTAGAAATAAAAACATAAGAAAAAATACTATTTATATTATATAAACTAAACATGCCCAGAGTCAAATCCTACATATTGCCTTTCTTACCAATTCCTATTACTGGAAACATTAAATTGAACCTACTTTTCTATCTGTGGCTTTCCTTTCTTCTTATTAATTGAAGATAAGCTTCGTTTTTCAGTTGAATGCTAATGAAAAGAATAAAAAGAAATCAGACGAAGTAAAACTAACCCATACTCCTAGAGATACCCTTCCATTCTCCTACCAAACATTAAAACGACACATTCCCAGTTATAATATTAAGAAATTCTGATTTCTAACCTACTTCTTAAAGATACCTACTTGAACCACTAAAATTTGCACATTCTCTGATAAATACTATTACTCTAAGAAAAATACCTATTTTGAATTTTGCTTTTAAAATGGCCCTGTATTCTTTCTTCTGAGCACAAAATAAAACACAGTCAAGTAACTAGCATTTGCTTAACAGGTTCAATAGTATTCTTTTGAAGTGCAACACAGTTTTATCAACTTTAAGAAGAAAAGGTGTAGATGCTGAAGTAGAAAGAACAAAGATATAACTGAATGAACTCTGGAAACAGGCCATTAAGTATGACTAAGGTAACATACAATTTCTCAAAACACGCTTCAGTGCCTTCGTTTGCAAAGCCACATTCCAGTAAAGGTTAACATTTGGAGCGGCGTGCTGGCCAGAAATAAACACTAGGTTAACAAATGCATTTTCTAAAAAGAAGGTGGCTCTCTCCAGAGCCACACTAGTAAGCCTTCCCCTGCATCTGCGGTGCTTGAGAGCATTTTGCACTCTGACTAGGCCAACTCCTGAGAAAGCAAGTATTTCACAAATTATATTCAGGAGTGTGGGGAAACTGCCCCAACCTTCTCATGAGGGAAGTCAGGCTCAACAGTCCCAAAACCAACAGCAAGACAGTGACTGAAATGTGACTAACTCTTCCAAAAGCAAAAAATCTGGCAGAACCATCTGATGTATCCCTAGCTAGAATACACATTATAAGATTCGTATTAAAATCTACTCAATAAAGGCAATCTCAAGATATTTTTTCAGGTCTCAGAAGAGTTTAGACCATCTATTCCAATTAATTGAAAGTCTAACAGCTATACGATCTGACATGACGATGCTTGGAGAACCCGACTCTTGCAGAGTGGCAACGCATGGAGACGAGAACGAAGCCCGCACGTGCCTGGTCAGCTAAGGCCACACAGTGCTCCGGGTGCTGAAGAGCAGGGCAGCTCTGCTTCCTCCAGTCCACGATTCCATTCTGTTCAGAATACTGCACGGTGAGCCCATCCAACGGAGAACAACTTGTACCGATGGTGCTATCAGAAGACGTGATTAGGGCATGAAAATCTGTCCTCAATAATCAAACTTGTACTGTATCGTATAATGAAGGAGCTACTGTAACCCTTTCTTCAGTATGTTATTTTTTTTAAAAGACTGACTAGTGAGATCTCTAAGGGAAAAAAAGGATACTAAAAGAAATTATCACACAGCTATTTTAGCTAATAAATAACACCTGTCTCTAAGGAAATTAGTAACAAATGCATGTTGTCTTCAGACACCACATATGGTCATCTGTACCACTTACGACTGGAACGTGACCCTGCTCTTGAGAGGACAGCTGACTAAGCACTGTGTATACCTAAGACATGTTACAGGACAAGATAATGTGACTGAGAACAGAAGAAACAGACAACAGAAACAGACTCAAAAACAATCCAGAAACAGAAGTCACTGGACATGACCTTTAAAACAATGGTGCTTAGGGGCGCCTGGGTGGCTTAGTCGGTTAAGCGTCCAACTTTTGCTTAGGTCATGATCTCGCGGTTCGTGGATTCGAGCCCCGCGTCGGGCTCTGTGCTGACTGCCAGCTCAGAGCCTGGAGCCTATTTCAGAGTCTGTATCTCCCTCTCTCTCTCACCCTCCCCTGCTCACACTGTCTCTCTCTCTCTCTCCTAGAAATAAATAAAACTTAAAAAAAAAATTAAAAAAAAAAACACAAACAATGGTGCTTAATATGTCAGTGACTACAAGAAGATGGGAAATTTGGGAAGTGTCCCGAGAAATATTAAAAAGACCCACATTTAAATTCTGGAACTATAAAAGAAACTGAAATTAAGAACTCGATGGATAGAAACAGATGAACAAAGTCAGTAAGGAGGAACTCTGGCCAGAAGAAACTAGACTGGAGCTGGAGAGGAAGAAAATACAGAGAACACAGAAAAGCCAAGGAGACCCACGGGGCACGGTGGAGAGTCTAACACATTAAGCACCCCAAGTCTAAGAAGAGAAAACCAGAGAATCAGGGAGAAGCAGTATCTGAAAAGGTAGTGGCTTGGACTTTTCTAAAACCAAAAGGTATCAGGCTTCAGGCTTAACAAGTAGAATTCATTCAAAGACAGCTACAAACAATATCATAGGAAAGCGCTCAAAACCAGACAACAGAATCTTAAAAAGCAATCAGGCTTTGAAACGTGCATCTGCTTCCAGAGGGCAACGAGAAGCCTGAAGCCACGAACACCAGTGGTCTCTGCTAGTCCCCCCCCGGGAGCAGAATCCGGACGGCACAGCTGATATGGGAGGCGAGCCCAGGAAGCTGGAACAGGAAGTGTGCAGAAGGAAATAGGAGAAGAGGAAAAACCAACTTGTTAAAGGTCCATTACTGAGGTTGCCAACATAAGCCAACAGAGGCTCAAACCGGTTGGGACCTCCCAGAATTCTCAATCCAAAGGCCAGGAAGCTGGAGCCTCCCCATCAGATGAGTGGTGACCCGACCCCCTGGGCAAATTAACCTGCATTTCTGGACTGTGCTAGTCTGAGGGCCAACTACGTCCCCAGAATCAGCAAGGGCCCGGAGGCAGAAGGTCGAAAGTCTTACAGCGTGGGTGGACAGGAGAAACACGAAGGGGGTTCTAGAGCCGGGCTGAGGCTAAAATGCGAGGGACCAAAGGCATTAAACAGGAAGACAGTAAAACCTGACTTTCAAAGCGCTCACAGAAAGTCATTGCCAACCTAGAATCCTACATCCAGCAAAAGTGCAGGCAAAAGAAAACATTTTTTCCCAGGTAAGAGCAAAGTGAATGCGTCACTGGCAGACAGGGCTACAGGAACTACCCCCAGTCCTTCAGCAGGCAGGAAACAATGATGGACGGACGCTAGGACACACGGGAAGGAAAGCAGGCACCGGAGAGGTAAAATCCAACGGACAGGTGAAGGCAGGCTTCACGGGGTCTAAACTACAGAGACGTCCTGTGGCACAGGACGGCCACAGTCTGTAAGGTGGGAGGGGTAAGTGCAGTAACAGCGAGTAAAGGTCCTCACAGGGGACGTGGTGCAAGCATCGTTCGCATCAGACCTTAGACAGTCAAAGATGTGGACTACAATCTGTGACCTCCTGTTACCACCAGAAGAATCGAAAATACATAGTTCTCGAGGGTTAAACAGAACAGAAAAACAGAATAAAACCACCCTACAGCAAGAAAGGAAAGAAAAGGAAGGTAACACAGAAAAGGTGGGACAAATAACAAGCAAACTGCCAGTAAAATGGCAGAATTCTAGGCAAATGTCTCAGTAATTAAAGTAAATGTGACAGTGCATTAAAAATGTACAGGGGCACCTGGGTGGCTCAGTTGGTTAGGCGTCTGACTTCAGCTCAGGTCACGATCTCACGGTTTGTGAGTTCAAGCCCCGCATCGGGCTCTGTGCTCATAGCTCAGAGCCTAGAGCCTGCTTCAGAATCTGTATCTCCTCCTCCCTTTGCCCTTCTCCCCCTTTCATGCTCTGTCTCTCTCTCTCAAAAATAAATAAATATTTAAAAAACATTTTTTTTAATGTACAAAGACATTATGTTTTAGGAATGAGATACATACTTCACCAGGGGACTCTTCCCGGTGTGCTTCTTGTGGATTATGGTGTGCTGTAACACATCTGCAGTAGAGGAAGACACAATTCATTACACCCAGTGCTGCTGCCAAAAATCCAAAAGGGTGATGCAACCAATTCATGTGACAGGGACAGTGTCACCAGACTGTGCAGAACGCTTCTAAGCATTTTTCACAGAAAACTCCGTAAAGGGGCAATTTTTGAAAGACACACTAAACTCATGAACTTCCTTCAACATCCTCTCCCATGTGTCCCACCTGAGAGCAAACGGGCTTTGTCCAAAACTATGCAAGTCAGCTCTGAGCAAGCCACTGTAAAACCACAACCTTCCGTGTTAGGCAATTTGTTTAACCATTTAAAACATGAAGGGTCTCAAATTCAAAAACGCCTGCCTCTTAATATAAGAAACACGCATACCCAGCTCCCAGATCACTCTACAAAGCTTGAACAACATGGTCTGAACTGCGAGGGATACACAGATTTTTCTTCCCCAATAAGTCAGTATTGCAAACCTATTTTCCCTTCCTTATGATTTTCTCAACATTTCCTTTTCTCTAGCTTACTTTATTCTAAGAATACAGCATCATAATACATCTAAAACACAAAACTATGTGCCAACTGACTGTTTACATGTTTGGTAAGGCTTCTGATCAAACAGCAAACTAGTAAGAGTTAAGTTTTGGGGGAGTCAGATTTTCTACTACAAGGCGGCTGGCACCCCTAACCTCTCTGTTGTTCAAGGGTCAACTATATTTGCCTCTTGAAACAAAATATATCACAGAAACAACTGAAGGCCTTTCTCCATTCCATTCAACTTCCTCCCTCTATAGAGATAAACCAGTTGAAATATTCTAGTGCATGTTTTTATGAAGCACCGGGGTCAGACCTAGGTATTTGCTATTTCACACAAAGCTATTGTGAGGACTTCAGTCTCCGTCCCCTGAACACATGGACAATTTTCACAGCTGCGGAACTGCTGGGCAGTAGCATAAAATTAATTACTTCCAACCTCACTGCACAGTGTCAAATTTCTGTCCAAATGAGTTGTACCAATTTATATTCCCATCCACAGCAGATCAGAGCTCCCGTTACTTCATACCACTGGTAATGTCAGACTTGAAAATGTTTTGCCAATCTGGTAAGTGTGAAAGGATTATCTCACCATTTTTACAGTGTGCATTGTTCAGACTACTTGTGAGCCTAAACACTATTTAACAGTCATTCACATTTCTTCTTCTGTGAATTAGCTATCTTTATCTTTTGTCCTTATTGTCAATTAGACTGATGCTCTCACTGAGTTTTTGGAAGCATATTTCTATTGTCTGGATACAGTCTTTCTTCAACTGTGAATATCCTGTAAATATCTTCTAACTGCCTGTTTTTTGGTTACAAGTTCCGTCCTAATTTAGAACAGAAAGATCTCCATCCACCACAGTCATGCTCGGCTTTGTCAAGAAAGCCTTCTCGTCCCCGACTATTAACATTTAAAAGTTCTATTTTACATTTTATATGCACTACATTAAGTTTAGATGTACGTTTCTTTTGTTATTTACTTGAAATTTTTGTGCATGATACAACTAGGGATCTAATTATATATTTTTTTCCAAGTGGAAAGCCAGCCAACACCATTTATTGAATAGTCTATTTTTCCCTCATTTATTTATAATGCCACCTGTCGCATTCCAAGCTCCCATATGTCTGTTTCTCGGCTCCTTAATCTGTCCTAATGGTCTGTTTGTCCATCCCTGTGCCTATATCAGGCAGAATGACTTATTCCAGTGAATCCACACTTACCTTCTTCTTGACTTGAAGCTTCTGAGCTGTCTTCCTTTAAGTGTTCTAATATTTTAGAAGTCTTCAGAGAGGACTGTAAGTTATCTGCAGGAAGTATTCAATACCATTAACTTTTTAGAAAAAAGGCAATAAAGAAAACCCACAGAAGGATTCTTTCTGTCCCAAGGGGAGAGTGGAGAGTCAGTGGTAAAGAGAACATTTCTACTAGTTAGGACCTTTAGAAAACCAAGGTGACACAGCACAAAACATGGGCCTGGGCGTGATGACCCTGAATCAGGGAGCCTGCTCTCCCCACGAAAACCATCAGTCTGGAGCAAGCGGCTTCACTCCGCCAGCCCCAGGGGCTCATGTGCTCTGTGAGAGGACACACTACGTCGGTACTTCGCAGACATCGGTGGTGTGGGAAGGCTTTTCAAATTTCTAACATGCTGTGAAGCATTCCTTTTATAAAATACAAGCAGGAATGGCAATGTCCAATGGCTACAAAGCCTCTCAAGTTTCTACCGTGCGTTTCTATTCTACTACAGAGCAGTGGCCCACGGGGCACTTTCCAAACGCCTGGGACTAGTCCTCAGGTAAGATGCAGGATATTGGGGTTCCAGAGTGCGATACAGTGAAGTCATTTAGGAGTTAACATTTGTCTTCTTAATTGTTAGGACATAGAATACTACGGTCTATCCCTGGAGAAAAAAGGTAGAGCTGTCATTTTTTTCAAAAAAGTACAAATGAACTTTGACAACAATGTGTTCTCTGGTGAAACATTTTGGACATCCTGACCACATTTTCCACAATCCCAAAACATGTCCTTTAACACATTTTAATTTTGCAACAATTTGAGGTCTTCTAATCTACAGCCCCCTTTAGCACTGTGCATGGAATTTAACTACCGTAAAGCTCTGGTGATGAGTTTTCTGTTATTTATATACACACACTCACTTGGGCCAGTTTTCCAGGGTCGCCTGTTAAAAATCTGAATTAAAAGTTTAACGCTGTGTTTTCAGAATTAAACAAACACTATTTATAGATACTCCTTAAAAAGTACTTACATTTGGTTCAAGCAGAAAGAAAGCACTGATTGTTAAATCTATATAGCCCTAAGATGATTAGGACTCTCTTTAAAAAACAACCAGCTACTGCCATTGTTCGGACATAAATTTAACCGTGGAGTCATTCATCTTGCCTCATCAACTAGTCATCAAGAATCTCTCTCTCTCTCTCTCTCTCTCACACACACACACACACACACACAAGAGAGAGAGAAACTTTAAAAGTTAACCCATGTTATCATATCCAGTCACATTACTTTTTAAAAATTCTTTTCCTTCCACCTCAAAATGAGGAAATATGCATTTTCCTTCCTCTTTAGGTACAAGGAAATAGGACTTTGCTGGTAGCCGAAGGAGAGGTTAAAAAAAAGGAATAGCCACTTGCCATAATGGCTGTGCTTAAAGTTAGCACATGCTCCTAAAGCACGCATCAATGTTCCTGGCAAAATAGTTGTCTAAAAAGGCAGTTGAGACAGATGTGCGTAGAAGTACACATCAGGCCGACTGTAATGAAGGATGAAACATGAGGGCAAAAGCAACCTACAGGAACAGAAGAAAAAAAAATGGGGAAAAATCTTCAGGAGGTAGTATTTCAGTTGGGTCTTAAAACAGGTGTGATTTTAACAGGCTGTGCCAAAAGGAAGGGTATTTAGAAGTTCAGGTACAGAATGAGCAAAGACACTGGGACAGGAAATGGCAGGTGTACTGAGTGGATGCCAAGCTTTCAAGCAGCCAGAGCCTGAGAGACTGGCCATGAATCACAAGGAGGCTCAGGGCAGGGCTTGAATTTCAAACCAAACTTTTAAGGTTTTGAAGAGGGGATTAACCACCTGATCCCTGAGGTAATCCTGGGAAAGGTTAAAGTGAGAGGCCAGAGCTGGAGAGACGTGCCAGGCTTGGCGCAGGGTATGCATGGAAGGAGCGGCAGCAAGGGAGGCGTCCGTGTCCAGCGTGGCTTGGCCCGTAAATGACCGAATGTGAAGAGGAACCATGGAGAGGGTAACGCCCGGGTTACAGTGGGAACGGGGAGGCTGCGGAGGTCACTGCGGTGACAGGGGAGCCGGGAGGAAAGGCAGGGTCTACGAGGCTCCACATCCCGCGCCCGGCGGGGCAGCACCTCTGCAGCCTGTACGCCAGGTGTGACGAGGCCCTGGAGGACCCAGTATGTCCACGAGATGGAGACAGCTGCCCTTTCCCTGCCATCAGTCTGTTCTGTGACCTGAGCTTTCATACGCTGTTTTCTGTGAAACTGCAGTGTCGATTTCCCCGAAAACTACAGATGTTTCTGAACCGTATGCCCCTATTCCTCCGCCAGCGGCCCCACACAAGGCAGCGCAGGGAGACAGGAATGCTAAGCAAGGACACATCCAGTTTCTAGAGAGGAGAAGGCGCTTACTGAGGCTGTGCAGAGGGTCTGGTGATATGGACTGAAAGAAGCTGTGCACTTTCTGACTCTGTAGAAAAGCTTGGGATGAAGTTGAAAATAGCTGCCTGCACATAAAAGAAAAGAGAGGTGTTAATTTCACGTAATATAAACCCACAAGAGTTTCAGTTTAGACCGTAAGGCAAATTTACATGGCAGTTTAATTTAAAAAGTATATTGGGGGCACCTGGGTGGCTAAGTCAGTTAAGTGTCTGAGTCTTGGTTTTGGCTCAGGTTGTGATCTCACGGTTTGTGAGTTCAAGCCCCAAGCCATGCCCTAAGCTGACGGCGCAGAGCCTGCCTGGAATTCTCTCTTCCTCTCTCTGCCTCTCCCCCACTTGCATGTGTGCACGCACTCTCTCAAAGTAAATAAATCAACAACAAAAAATACTGTTTTTCTGAGGAAAAGAATATTATCTTCTAATGTATTTCCCATAGGAAGAAGTGAATAAAAGTTAAACTTATTTGCAAAAATCTGGTAAATGGGCTTATTAATTTTCTATAATCTAGTGGTATGGTTTCACTTCTGGCAGAAAAAAAAGAAGTTATTTCAGCCTTTTGCCCAAGTGGTCCAATAGTCCTCTTTCTGCTCAGGTAAGAACTTCGATCCTTTTCCTCTTCCTCACAGGTGTTCCTCTCCATCGCATGGCTGTTCAGGAAGGAGCCTTCCCAACTCTGACCATGAGAGCCCGGGAGGCCGGGGTGCCAGGAGTCCTGGAAACTGGAACGCGGTGTCTGGTCAGTACAAGTGTTCCTACGTCCTAAGGCATGGCCAGCTGATGATTCATTCACTCCGCTGTGTATCCTTTCCATGATTCTAAGCTGTTATCTTTGAAATCAGCTTTCCTCACATTTTCTTAGTGTAATTATAAGATTCAAACTCAAGGCTTCTCTACAAAAGGGACCCTGCAATAAGGGATGTAGTTACAGCACAGAAACTAATGGAAAGCTTCCTCGAGGATCTGGGTATCAGCTTGACCACGTAAAAGCTGATTTACTCTAGTTGCTCTGCCTCTAGTTCCTTTAGGTGAGCTGTTAGATTTTGGACTTGCGCTTTTTCTAATCTCTTGAAATAGGCCTGGAGAGCAATGTACTTTCCTCTTAGGACTGCCTTTGCCGCATCCCATAGATTTTGGATTGTTGTGTTTTCATTTTACTCTAAATAAGTTACTTTGCCTGTGAGCTTCACTTTCCTCACAGGAAATACTACCAATTCATCAAGGTTATGACACTCACACAGTACACAGAGCTGTCACTCTGCTCAACATACAAATCCTCGTCCATTCCTTTTGAATACTTTAAATGCTCATTTAAAATTCTTAAATTTCTCCCCAAGGTTCCTGACCTTTCATTCAGATTAAAGTCATTAAATACCTTATCAAAAGATGACCCTTATGGGGGCGCCTGGGTGGCTCAGTAGGTTGGGCAGCTGACTTTGGCCCGGCTCATGATCTCGCGGTTTGTGGGTTTGAGCCCCATGTGGGGCTCTGTGCTGACAGCTCAGAGCCTGGAGTCTGTTTCAGATTCTGTGTCTCCCTCTCTCTCTGACCCTCCCCTGCTTTCTCGCTCTCAGAAATAAAACATTAAAAATTAAAAAAAAAAAAAAAAAGATGACCCTTATGGACCCAAAATCACCTTGTATTGTCAGGCAAAATTGCTTCTTGGTATGCGAATGTGGAAATATTCAACAGGAAGACAAATGGGAAATGAAGAGATGGAAAAACGAAGGGAGGAGCTGATGTAAATCCCCAGGTGTGCACACTTACTTGAGCCTGGGGACTGAAACCTGAGGGCAGTGGGAGAATCATTTACATTTACAAACCAATTGGTCCAAAGACGATAGACACCTTGAATTCAAGGCTAGAATCCCAAGAGACAGCCTGGACAACTACCACTCCAAAAACAACCGCATGTCCGCTGTGGGAACACGGGGCTATGCATTTAAGCCACACCGGAGAGAAAGGCACAGGCTTGAAGTCAGAATACAGACCAAAGTCAAGTTGAGCAATGCATAACCACAAGACAGCAATTATACCTATTTTCACCAAACTTGCTATAAGCTAACATATTAAATAAGAAAATCAAGACTATATATGGACACGACAGAAACTGCCCAACCCCAACTGTATATATTTCAGTGGCATATTTTCATTTTCCTAATGTACAGTGTATCTGGAACGGTATTTATGCAGCGTGTCCTGTACCAACCCCATCTCTACTTCTCCTACTCTACTTACTTCCTGTTTCCCATGTACAACTCCCCCTCCCTATATCATTGCTATGTTTCTTCAGTGACATGAATGGTAATCAATCTGATATAAAATTCACAAACTCGCAAACTGAGAACGAGGTGTCCGGACACCCTATTAATGTTACTGGGACCACAAGCTAGCCACACAAATCAAAAAAAATTTTAAGGGAAATCTCAGAAAATAAACCATTTTTAAAAATAAAAATTTTGAAGACGAAAATCTTTCCAAGCAGGATATAAAACGCTGAAACCATTAGAGAAAAGATTGATGAATCTGACTACATAAGAAGTTAAACTGTCCACATGGTCAAGAAATAGCAACAAACAGGGCTCCTTTCTTGAATCAAACAAATAACTCTTATAAATCAGCAAGACCAATAAAAGTGGGGAGGGCTGAAAAAGCCATTTACAGGAAAGTGCAAATACAGACTAAATAGAGACCCAAATACAGACTAAAATGAGAAAATCTTCCTCTCTGAGACTGGCAAAGATGAGAGGCTGAGAGTATATGTCCGCTGAGGTCGTAGAGATACAAATACACCCATTGCGTCTGGCGTATAGAGTGTTGCTACCTCCTTAGAATTTGGAAACATCACTTATTAAAAAAACGCAAAACTTATGACCAACTTCACTTCTAGAAATTTCTCTTACAGATAAATATATCAGATGTGTTAAGAAACATAGATGGATGGTTGCTGTAATAATGTTTATTGTAGTTTAAAATTTTTAGACTCAAAATGGTCATAAAAATTAATAAGGAGTCAGTCATACACCTGTCATCTTGCCCAGGAGCGAAATCTCTAAAAGTGGCTTCTTCATAGCTTTCCCCCCCTGAAAATTTCCAACTTACAGAAAAGTTGCAAACGTAGTAAGAAATATATTTCCAAACCGTAAACAGCTCATCTCTGACACCCCAACACTCGGCAAGCCAGGAGCGTTTCCTACACAGACACTCCCCTGTGGTCACATCAGGGTGTTAACATTGATACATGTTACCCTCAATCCTCAGACCCCACTGAAGTTCTGCCAGCTAATCCCCAAGTGGCCTTTTCACCACAAAGGTGCAGCCGCCACCACGGCTCCTTACAGTGTTAAGATGACAGCCCCTGTAGTTTGTGAACGGTCACAACGTGGGTTTGTCTGATGTTTCCTCACCTTTAGATTCACAGCAGGAATATCACAGGGCTGAGGCTGTGTTCTTTTGCTACAGCCTATTGTGTGGTAATTCTGACTGACCCCCTCACTATCAAGTTCAAGTGACGGGATTAAAGTGATCTCTGTCAGGCTTCTCCACTCTAAAGCCACTCTTCCTCCCTTAATGAATAATAAGCATTATTTTGTGGGAAAGGATCTTGGTACTGTAAATATCCTCAAATGTTCAATCTATTCATTAATTATTTATATTAACATGGTTTCCTATTTTATTCAATATTACTGTTTTATTTATTTAGATGTTCGATTTGCGCCAGATCTGACCACGAGGAGCCCCTTCAAGCTGCTTCTGTGTCCTTCTGACCAAACCACTTCCATCTGTGAGCGCTCCCTTGCTTTTGGGCACCACAGGCCCGCCTCGTACTTCTGCCCGGGCCATGCAGTCAGCTCGGCCTCCCAGGAGCCCTCGCCGTGCCTAGTGGAGAACGCGGTTACAGTCAAGCTCTGAATGTCAGGGATCCCCACCGCTACAGGCTGGGGCTGCTTCCAGACCCTTTCTTTCTTTCCTTTCTTCTTCTTTTTATATGTTTGTTTACTCTGACAGAAAGAGAGAGTCAGTGAGCGCAAATGAGTTGGGGAGGGGCAGAGAGAGGGAGAGAGACAATCCCAAGCAGGCTCCACACTGTCAGCTCACACCGACACGGGGTTTGAACCCACAAACAGGGAGATCATGACCTGAGCCAGATGCTCAACCAGTGAGCCACGCAGGTGCTCCCAGACTCTTTCATGAAGAGCCAGGGAACATAGGTGTACATACACACCCATATTGAGTTCTGTATCTTCCTGCATGTACCCTGAATAATGAGTGTGCACCAATATCTTCAATTCCAGCCAGACACTCCAGGGTCCGTTCTGGTTTTCTTCTTTTCCATAGTGTAACTCCTTTCTCCAACACAGAGAGACCTGGTCCTCGCTATTCTTAATACACTGACTAATTAGGCCAATCCCTGCAGTAATGTGTCCCCACCGCTGCCCTGGCCCCCTCCCGTGCAGGCGCCCCTGACTCCAGCTGAGCCCCCACGCTCTGCCAGCCGCCTCGCAGGGGGGCCAGCCTCCCAGCACCAGGCCCGGGTCCTCCCACTTGGGTCCCTCTTCTAGTCCAGCAGGACGTATGCTCCAGAACCGCTGCTGCCGCCTGCCTTGCTCTGTTCCACTGAGTGGCTTTTGGACTTTTGTGTTCAGGAGGAGCAGGGAGAAAAAAGGACAGGAATTGATGATCACTCTTTAAAAGTCACAGTCCTACAAAGAACCTAGACACTGGTACCCCTGAGAGCGGAACCACAGTTTAGCACACCTCCCGGAGCACACATGCATCAGGTTTTAACATAACGGTTTAAGCTGAATAATAAACATCTGAGAACATGGAAGAGTATTTCAGAAATAGTACCAGGGGGAGGAAAACCAGATCTATCAGCTACGAACAAACTATAAAAGTTCTAATAATTAAAAAGTGATTCCGGAACAAGAATGAGATTGTTGGAAGGAAAAATCCAGGAACAGTTTACATACCTAAGAACGTAGGAAATCAGTAATATAGGAAGGAATCAATTCACTATCTGGATAGAAAAATAGATTTAGATCCTGACTTCACTTGGTATAATAAATCCAAAACGATGAAAGGAACAATAAAATAGCAGAAACTATCATATACACAAAAAGTACATTGATCGTGTTTCAAAAGATGGATAGCTTCAAGCGTTTTTAAGTGAGTGAATATGTGCAGCCCAAACTCAAAGGTTATCAAGTGACCAGCCAGTGTCATTCCTACTCCCAGAGCCCCTCTTCTTCCCTAGATGCAAGCCGCTCTGCTATTTTATTGCATATTTTTTCAGAGATAATCTTGGCACACAAGTATGAACATATCCTTTAAAATGGTGACATCCTATTAACCGTTCTCACCCTGTTCTTGCTCTCCATTGCTCTTTTTCAATGAGGCCACATGGTATTCTAGTGAATGGATGTCCCGTGAGTTAACCAAGTCTCCATCAACGTCTAGCTGTTTCTAGTCTTTTCTAGTCAAAAAATACAGCAGTAAACATCCTGAAACACTCATCTTTGCATACAGTGGGAATATACTTGTACAACAAACTCCTAGAAGTGGAAGTGGTCAAAGGTTATCTTCACTTAAGTTGTGATACCGCCAAACAGCTTTCCAGACATTTTACTGGTTTACGTAAAT